ATATAAATGTTTGTTGTTTCCCACGCCTGGAGATTCCAAGAAAAACTAACACTGGAGGTTATAAAGGAAGACTCAATAAGATTAAAGTGATAAATATTTTAGATTTAACAGAATCTGAGGATGCAAAATGAAAAAAAAAAACAAACAGACATCTGTTCTGGAGAAAATGGAAAAGTCATTTGTTGCTTGGGAATTCCATTAATATATGACATTGGAAGATGTTTTTTGGAATGAAAACCAACATTTCACACTAACAATAGAAACTGATAAGGAAAACAAAGAACATCCACACACTGCAATTAACAAAGCCTGGAGAAGCAGTGACATTAATTCACTTGTACTGTATGAAACACACACAACTGATTATTCCTTGTAGGCCTTCCATCTATGATGAATCTTACATTGTAATGCATTTATCTTCAGTTCATACAACTTGTACTGCTATTAACATTAATTATTGAAACATACAAAACAGTTTTGTCTCAAAGAAGTTTTCAAGTTTCTTGTCATCTACCTGTGCCATGTCTAACATATTTTAATATACAACCATAATCAGAACCAGTAAATCTGTTGACGATTACTGTGAAGTAGTTAAAAGCTTATTACATGTACAAGAAAGTTCATTTTACAGTAAGTTGACATATATAAACTTATAAACACAGATCTAGAATATCTTGCAGTCAAGATTTCCTTCAGGTGAAACTTGTATTTGATAGGAAAACAGATCTGATGATACACTACACACAAAGAATTGTTCATACACTAGCATACAGCCCATCAGAAATAATGGGGCAAGTACCACCACCACCACCCATAGTATACCCTAACCTTACGTTTCATACTAAACTGAAATAAATAAATTTTTGTGAAATCAAGCTTGACCAACAAAGAGGCAGAAAAGTGCAGTTGAGGCAGTCAAATGTTGGTAAATTCCGTTATGAGCCAATCAAAATTAAAATCATTCATGAAATGAATTTGTGGCATATTCATAGAATAATTATTGGTAAAAATCAGTTAGTAAAACCAGTCTGTTTTGGTAATACTACATTCCAACAATGGCTTTTATGCCATGTTGCTCAGCAACAAAAGTATAACCTAATATTCTTGTTAGTTTATGTACTGAAAGTATAAAATGAAATGTATAGACAAAAATAGAAAAGTATTTGTTGATTTAGTGATTTGGAGTCTCCGTTCATTAAAGAGATTTGTTTTTTTATTAAGAATGTTGGTGATGTAACAGAAAATAGCTTAATTTAGAAACAAGTTTAAAATTGAATCAATATTTTTACTTTCATGATAAATTTTTATGCACTTGGTTGTAGGCTAGGTGATCCCACACTACTTCTTCACTTTAGGCTTATTATATCAACATTCACTACACTTACAAGATTTCACGGCACCCTTGCACCCCTTCACTAAAATCATAATGGGCAGACAGTAATCGAACAATTCTATCTGGATAAATGCATTTTGGCTTTTATGACTCCCCCTATTTTGAGAAATCAAGTGTGATGTGATGTGTCATACACAGGTTTTTATGTAGGTTAGGTGTTACATAGAGTGCTAAAAAACAATGACTGGTTAAGTGGAAAACTTTCAACACACTGGAAATAACTTTATATGACAATCTTTATCATAAGCACATACCTAGAAAATTTTATTCAGGGTACAGTGCATTAAACCAGAATAAAAATATAAAAACATATTTTCTATTGTAAAGCCAAAGGTATTGGAACAAAGAATTAAAAAGTTTTTAAAAGGTAATATGGACAGTGCCAGAAGAAAACCAAGGGGATCATGGTGTACTGATGATGGTAGTAACATAACAATAACATCTTATTCACTTTTGTTTTTACAATCGCCTTAGTCATTTAGAGATTTCTCATCAGAGATGTTTAAAAATTCAAAGCTATCAAAAAACAAAAACATTTTAACCCAATGTTTCATAATATTCTCAATATTCAACAAGTTAGCATTCTAAGCCAAGAGATCAATGATTCATTCTCATTGACCAATCTTGAAAGTGATTTCAGTACAGAACAATCCTTATCTAGGTTCACCACTGTAAGTAATCTAATGCCATCTTGAACATGAAATGGGTCTACAACTCATTTAACACCAATCAATAAATGTACTGTTTCTTCATGCAAATTTCTTCACTATGATCTTGCTAACTGTACTGTTTCTCATCATAATGAATCCTTAGATATTCTTTTAGGTGACAGTTTACTTCAGAATTCATCACAACACACCACTTAACTACACTCTTGTTCTACAGTGTACATCCTCTTTGTTGTTTTATATATATATATATATATATATATATCAGAAACAAAGTGTGTGATGGCAGTGGTAAAAATGAAGTGAATCAACCTTGTCAGAAAAGGTAGGTGGAAATTATGTAGATGTGGGGACACGTTCCTCTGAAACATCAAAAAAATGTTACAATTTGGGTCTATTTTCATATAGGTGGAGTCAAGATATGATAGAAGCCAGGGAAAATACACAAGTAAAATTAACATGAAAGCAAGCAGTTGAATCACCAACTTACATGACTCTCCCACCCATTTTTTTTTATTTACTGTTTTCAGTGCCACCTACCAAATATGGTTAGAAATTTTATAGATCAATCTTCAGGCCATATATGACACCAGCATAAAACATTTTCACACATATATATCAGAACTAAATACTAAGAATTAACATTAAACTTCCTACATTCAGGTAATTCTAACTCAAACTAACCTAATTATTACTGAGTAATCATTTATATCTTATAGAGGTGATATTTTGACATTTTTCAATACTGAAATAACTTTAAATAATTGGACTTTAAACAGGATTTCATGGCTAAGTTTATTTTCTTATGATCAAAGTTAATACATAATATAGAAAATAACTCACAGTACTACAGGGGTGTGCAAATCAAAGCAAATTTTCTTCATAATACCAAATACAATAGATTATTATTTTTCTTCCACACTGTACAACAGATCTGGGCAATTAGCTCAATCAATTGATTATCTATGGACATTGATTAATGTTGTGTAAAATCATTAATTAGTCAAAATCACTATTAATCTGATTAATGTCATGAAAATAATCAGCTACTGTTTCCGACTGTTACTGTTTTTGATTAATTCAACTATTCAGTAAATGAATTATGATTAAATCAACTGTCACAAAACCAAATAACTGAAATTAGTGTTCCTGATTATTCCAACTATCTAGTAATCATAATAATGCCATTAATTTTTCATTATTTTCTATTAATTGAAGTTTAAGCTTAATCCTTTAGTGTCAATACTGACAAAAATAATTAATGAAATTTAACATTTCCAATTAGTATTTTTGATTATTCCAAGTTATCAAAATATTACAGTTTGTTTATTGTTAAGC